TTTCCTCTTGAAATTGATGTCTTCTTGGATCTCATCTCTAACTTTCCTTAGTGCATTAAGAACCACTAATGTAGTGTTTTCGTATTGCAAGAGAAAATTACAATGTGATTGTTTCTTTAAGTGCATTAACTATGAACTATTCCCTATATCACACTAACTATACACAATATGTACATGCATTAAGTTCAATGTTTTGGAAAAAGAAAATAAAGAATGCCTCAATAAATTAATAATTTATTAATTTATACCATTACTTAATATATTGATTTATTAATAAATTTTTATGGTCCCAATGATATTTATTTATTGAGGTTAAACTATGTATGTATATATATCTTATGTTATTTAGAAATAAAAATTTTAATATTAGTAAGGTTATATATGATTTTATTTCTTGGAGATATTTGAGCAAATATTAACAAGGGACTTCAAGAATATTAACTAATACTTACAATGAAATGCATACTCTACTCTAAACTAACCTTGTTTGTTATCAAATAGGAACAAAATAATAAAAAAAAATTTCCTTTTTTTCATAATTAAATTATTTAAAGGAATGATCAACAATGCTTCATAGTTTTTCCTCTTTTAACGTTAATTTATATTTAATTACTTCACATCTTATTTATTTTCTTGTCTCACCTCTTTCAGATAAAGGTCTAATCAAAACCAGATACTTGCGCTTTGTTGGTAGTTACTCAAAGCTTGACATTTCAAGAAAATATCATTGGTTTTTGAGCAAGGTATTTAAATTTTCTATTATTTTATTTATTTTTAAATTTTATATAGCATAGAAAATAGTAACACGGTTGATTATTTGTTTATCTTATCTAAATAATAATTATTAATGCAAAATACGAATAACATGGTATAAGGTTGCCATATTTCACTCGATGAATATGATGGGATTTTTTATGCTAATTACCTAGCACTAATCTATTCCAAAAGAGCAAAATTAATCAAACAATACTCACAAGGATTTATTGTCGCACCCCCTCCTAGGTATTCCCTATCTCGTCGAATTCGGGCACTCTGAGGGACTCAAGATCCCAAGAGGAGGGTATTTTTTTTTTTCAAAAATAGTTTACTATCTCCACTCATAAAAACTTTAATGACAATAGTGTAACACGAAACATAGTTTTGAAAACGTAAATCTTAGAAAACAGTTTACATAACAAATGTATCAAAGTGCTTCTAATGTGTATAAACATCATGCTAATGAACATATGTCTATTAGCCAACCGAATGCGTATAGCAAGCGCCTCACATATACACTGTATGCAATCCTGGGGGAAAAACATAAAACAGTGAGTTAGGAAGCCCAATGAGTGGATAATACAATTTATAAATGAAAATAACTTTCAACCTTAAACCAGCATGAGCAAAACTTGCATTTCACATAACGCGTAACTATTCCCTTAACGAAACCACACTTTCCTGATATAATTTCCTTGATTCGTATCCACTCATGTCCATCAAGGAAATTCGCATCATTGTACAAACTTTCCAATTACCATGGATCATCGTATTATTTTCACGAAAACCGATACACCATCATCAAAGTTAAGTAGGCATTCCCTAACACGAAACCCACTCTTGCTCATGCCAACACCCATCAAATGTCCACAATTTCCACCCAACTTATACCCGTTGAATATTTATAAATTTCATCCCAGCCTATACTCGCTAGATGTTCACAAGTTCCACTCATTCAATTAATGCAACCATCACCACCACCACTACCACACTAGTACGCAAGGTCTCGAATATATACAACCAACTAGCTGCTCAACTAGGCCAATACCCGTCTAGTGTAACCCGTCAAATCCCTCCCAAGGTCTATCCTCCGGGTGTAATCTCGCTTGGAGCTCGTCAGGCGCCCAACCTATCCCGATAGGATAGCATAGATCATCATCGTTTGGAAGTACGAGTCATCTCAATATGCGCATGAGGCTAATCATATCCCATCCAGGCCAATACCTGCCCAATAGTCTTATCAAATCCCGCCCAAGCCAATACCCACTAGGTGTCATAATCCCACTCAGGCCAACATGCGCTTGGTGTAATCCCGCCCAAGCCAATACCCATTAGGTGTCATAATCCCACTCAGGCCAACATGCGCTTGGTGTAATCCCGCTTGGAGCTAGTCAGACGTCCGTACTGTCCCGATAGGATGCTAAATATAAATCCTAACTGATGTTTGGAGGGGGACGGTACTAAAGGTGGTTACAGTCTGCATAACACTTCCACAATCCCACCTTCGAACTTCCCAACCTGCCTTCATGCAAGTGTTCGAATATGAATGGCATATGTTTCTTAATAAAACCATCATGTAAATACGAGCATAATTTTCTGAAGTATACCAACTTATAAAATATCAATTTACACCTCATATTTGTCCTGCATTTCAATTTAGTCCCAAAGGTTTCAAACATCACAATTAGCCCCCTGCTTGTACTCCAATAATCGTAAAACTGACAATCTGCCCCCTTAGGAATCCTTCCACCAATAGTAACCCAAAGCAAAGAAATTTGGGTCTGATGCCCCCCAAATATAAACAAACCCAATACTAATTTAATAAATCTTTTCACAATTAGAAACCAACCCAAAACACCCATTACTCACGACTTCTTAAATTTGGGCCAAGCCGATCTCCTTTTATAAGCTCATCCATACTTCAATCTATCAAAGTTTAATAAACCAACCACCAAGATTTTATTCAATTTATTGAATTTTAACGACCCCCCATATCCACCAAGTTTACACTCTGACATCTACTTCTCCAATTCAACCCAAACCAAGAATTTCATTTCATCCCAACTATAACTCTTATTCCCACCAACATTACCCTTCAATTTCCTCATTCTCTATTCAAGAACAAACAAACCAGCCCTCCCCAAAATTTGGCTGGATTTTTCCATTTTAATAACCGATTACATATGCCATTTCTCACAATTTAATTTCCAATCATCCAAATTACACTATTTCACACAAACACACATGCATGCCAAAAGTTCCCTTCCAATACATGATCCATAACCCATAATCATGCATATCAAACACTTTATGCCAATATACATATAACATTTTCATAAGCCAAAATATAACCAATAATCATGATCTTGATTAAACAACACTAAGCCAATTCATCAACATAATCCACAACCTCCTAAAGCAATCCATACCATTTTCATTTATTTAATATCCAACACTCCCAATTGTAAATCAAGCAAACCAGTCCAACCAATTGGCTGCATTTGTTTCCAATCACAATCAATTCCAAATCAAGCTCATTATACAATATCCAAAATATATAAACACATAAATTCATCATTAAGTTACAAACATAAAGTCTACAAGTCTACTAAAGTACCCACCAAGCAAGAGTGCATTTTTTTTTTCATCACCAAAACACACATCAAACGCCACAATAAGCAAACTTTTAGCAAGGAAATTTTCGTTGATCCAGTCACCTTCTGAAGCTAAATTCTTGATCCGAAGAAGGGATCAGAATCCTCTAACGATGTTTGTGCTTGTCTTCCTTTATCCGAAATCCAATGACCTCTCCATGCAAAGGTCTCTCTATGGTAACACTTCAACATTAAATTCATTGGACATCTTAAACACCAAAAGATTAACTTAACATCCTTTATCAAAAACTGTCTCATAACAGAACACTGATCACTCTAGGATTTTTCATAAAAATTCCATTCATCAATTTAAGCCATAATTTTAATGGGGAATTCAAGACACACATATGAGGTTCCAGTATATTATCCAAGTCATTCTAGAGTCGATAACCATTTAAAACAGAATTTTTTTTCAACCTTTTCAAAGCTGCCAACTGCTTCCAGAATTGAGGTTATTGACTTGTAAAATTTACAACAATTTAACCTTTAATCTAAACCTTACGAAAACCTGTAGAATTAAACTAGACACCTACTGGATTTAGAAGAATTTAAAATCATCAAATTTAAAAAGGAATAGATGCATCAAATCATCTACTAAAATACTCGTTCTGCAGAAACCCAAATTCCAAAATTGTAGGGCAAACTTAAAAAATCCATAGAAAATCCAATACTTTGAGTTTTTTAGTGAAACAAATCTCTAAACACTCCTCAAGAAGTCTACAACAACATATCTAAAATTCAGTTTCAGTCAAAAACCCAAAACATGTAAACGATTTTCGGAATACCAAATGGTCATATTTTGTACAGTAACCCTTATATAAAAAATCACATCTTTAACCAAATTTATTTATTTATTTATTTTGTTTGGCTTAGGAATCACATATATGTTCTATCCACATAACATTATTGTAATTAATCTTCCCTTTTCAGTTTAATCTTATACCATGACCCTACAACATCAACTTTTCTTGCAAAATGCCCCCAACAAAAATTTAAAAACTCACATTTCCCCCTGGAAAACAAAATAAATTTTATAAAATAACCCATAAAATATGGGATATTACATCTATAGTGCTTTACTTTCTATATGAGAATTATGTTTACTTAACCACTACGAAATTTCACTATGGGATCTATCTAGCATTACAAATTAAAACACTTATCTAGGCTAAAAATCATGTTTTCCCAAAGGTGTATTTGCTAAAGCTAATTTTCTTTTCTACAACAAACAAATAAAACAGTAGTAGCAACAAACAAATAATCATGAAATATTAGAAGTTTACCTGTTCACTAATCACAATTATGTTACACGGTTCAATGTTACAAAGAAAAAGTGTAAGATTAGTAGTAGCGTAGTATGATGTATTTTATTTTTTAACTTAAAAAAATAGCTTATTGAAGACATTTCCAGGAACTAGGAATATAATTATCTACCATAGTGTTTTAAAAATGTTCAAAAAATAAAACAGATGTTATCTAAACTATTTCCGATAAGATTAATTTTACAAATTCATATCTCTAGCTAATTAGTTAATATTAGATAATCCTATAACTGCGTTATACTGATACACTTTCTAATTGATAACACAGATGTTGATAGAGATTGCAATAGCTATTGTATCAAAGGTTGGAGAATACTTGGTGGAGCCGACCATAAACCAAGCTCGTTACTTATTTCGTTTCAACAAAATTGTTGAAGATCTTATGGAAGCAGAACGAAAATTGGAGTTGAAACAAGGTGATGTGGAGAAAGAAATCGAAGCTGCAGAAAGAAATGCTGAAAGAATTAAGGCAACTGTACAAGATTGGTTGTCTGATTCGAGAAAAATCATGCAAGAAGTTGAGACGTTGAAAGAAAAAATAGAAGTTAATAAGACTCGTCTTAATGGGTGGTGTCCTAATTGGGGCTCTCGACATCAGCTAGGGAGGAAAGCAACAAAGAAAAGCATTCAGTTGAAGAAAATTATAGATAAAGGCCAACTTGGAAGAGTGGGGTGTCGTGCTCTTCTATTAGGTGAACCTTTAGCACCTAAAGATTTTGAATTTTACCGGTCTACAAAGGCTGCTTTTGATGGGATTATGGAGGCACTTAAAAATGATGGCACCAATATGGTTATATTGTGTGGGATGGGCGGTGTGGGTAAAACAACTTTAGCAAGAGAAGTGCGTAAAACGGCCAAAGAAAAGGGCATCTTTAAGGAGGTTGAGATGGTTACTGTATCCCAAACTCCAAACTTCAGAAATATTCAAGGTCAGTTGGCTGACTTCCTAGATTTGAAATTTGAGGCGGAAACTGAAGAGGGAAGAGCTCGGACATTGTCTACAAGATTGTCAAATCCTAGTAATAACCTTATAATCCTCGATGATGTTTGGGAAGATTTCGATTTCGAGTTAAAAATAGGTGTTCCATTGAGCAAAGGTTGCAAAATGCTTTTGACAACCCGCAACAAAAACGTATACACTCCTAGGGAGAATCAATCATTAATTCCTCTAAATGTTTTAGGGGAACACGAAGGAGTGGCTTTACTAAAAAAGGAAGCAGGCATAGATGATGATTGTGTCAACTTGAATACTTTGGCTACTCGAATTGCTAGAGAATGTGGTGGTTTGCCTTTAGCACTTGTAACCACCGGAAGGTATTTGAGAGGAAAGAAAGATATCGAAATATGGGAATCTGTGTGTGAAAAACTAAAAAAGTCAAAACTGGAGGATTTATGTCTTGTTAATAGTACAGAGNACACACATTCGGTTGAAGGAAATTATAAATAGAGGCCGATTTGAAGGCGTGGGGGGTCGTGCTCTTCTATCAGGTGAACCTTCAGCACCTAAAGATTTTGAATGTTGCCGGTCTACGAAGGATGCTTTTGATAAGATTATGGAGGCACTTAAAAATGATGGCACCCATATGGTTATATTGTGTGGGATGGGCGGTGTGGGTAAAACAACTTTAGCAAAAGAAGTGAGTAAAAAGGTCACAGAACAGAGCATCTTTAAGGAGGTTGTGATGGTCACTGTATCCCAAACTCCAAATTTCAGAAACATTCAAGGTCAGCTGGCTGACCTCCTAAACTTGGAACTTAAGGAGGAAACTGAAGAGGGAAGAGCTAAGAGATTGTTTTCAAGATTGTCAAAGTCTAATAATAACCTTATAATCCTCGATGATGTTTGGGAAGAATTCAACTTCGAGGAAAAAATAGGTGTTCCATTGAGCAAAGGTTGCAAAATGCTTCTGACAACCCGCAACAAAAAAGTATACAGTGATAGGGAGTATCAATCATTAATTCCTCTAAATGTTTTAGAGGAAGACGAAGGAGTGGCTTTACTCAAAAGGCAAGCACTTATAGATGATGACTTTGACAGCTTGAATACTTTGGCTATTGAAATTGCTAGAGAATGTGATGGTTTGCCTTTAGCACTTGTAACCATCGGAAGTCACTTGAGAGGAAACAAGGATACTGAAACATGGGAATTTGTGTGTGAAAAACTGAAAAAGTCAAAACTGGAGGATATAAGTCATGTTAATAGTGAACAAAGAGGTGTCTATGCCAGTCTTAAGTTGAGTAATGATTATTTGAAGACAAATGAAATTAAATTTTGTTTTTTGATATGTTCACTATTTCCTGAGGATTTTGATATTCCTTTGGAGGATTTGGTTAGAATAGGAGTGGGGGTAGATTTATATAAAGGTGTTTCATCCATTGAAGAAGCAAGAAGGGCCCTACGTTCTATGGTTGAAACCCTGAAGGCTTTGGGTTTGCTATTAGATGCTTACGGAGAAGAATTTGTGAGAATGCATGATATAGTTCGTGATGTTTGTCTATGGATAACATCAAAGGGGGAGAATATATTCATGAGCAAGGTTGGCATGGATTTGACGCAGTTGAGAAGGGAGAAAGGCTGGAAACAATATACGGCAATCTCCTTGTTGAAAAACCAACTAAAAGAGTTCTCTGTTAGACTGGTATGTCCTAAGCTTAAACTATTGCTATTGGGTGGTGAAAATCAATGGTCACAGTTGAAAGTTTCATATGAATGTTTCCAAGAGATGAAAGCACTTGAAGTTGTAAGTTTAAGATATGTAGACCTTTCACTGAAATCACTTCAATTCTTGACAAATCTCAAGACTCTAGAGTTGTTTGGTTGTAATTTGAGAGACATTTGTTTCCTTGCCAAGCTGAACAAACTTGAGATTCTTAGCTTTAGACATTCTCATTTTGACGAATTACCACTAGAATTGAGTGAACTTAAGGAACTAAGAATGTTGGATTTACGTGGGTGTTCTGAGCTAAGAAGAATTCCTTCCAATTTGATACGCAGCTTTTCTCAATTAGAAGAATTATACATTGAGGAGGACATCTTTGAAGAAAGGGAGGTTGAAGAGAAGAGTATAGAAACAGGCAATACTAGGCTTTCAGAGCTAAATTATCTACCTTGCTTGGTTGTTCTGTATTTGAAAATAAATTCAAAATGCCTTCCAAAAGACTTTGCTTTCTCCAAACTTTCAAGGTATCAAATTTGTGTGAACGGAAGTATTTATGAATATGGATATTCAGAATCATCAAAAGCTTTAGTAATTGCTGATATTGATGCAACCTTATTGACTGCATTATTTAAAGCACTATATCATAGTGTAGAATATCTTAGTTTGGAACGAGTAACAGGTTGTCAAAATATCCTCCCAAGCATATTGAAGAAGTTGAATACTCTTAACGTTAGAAGTTGTGAAGACTTGAAATGCATGATAGATGCATCGCAAGTGGGGGAAGAAAATGCTGAGTTGCATCCAAGTTTAGCAGAGTTAGCGCTGTCATCCTTACCAGAATTGCAGTGTATATGGAAGGGGCCCATGTCCACTCATGCTGTAAACTTCCGAAGTCTTACGGATGTTTATGTGAAAAAGTGCAAAAGCTTGGCTTATCTTTTCACTTTATCAATTGCCAGGAGTTTGGGGCAGTTGAAATCACTCCGTGTATTTGATTTTGAGAGTTTGGAGTTCCTAATCAAGATAGAAGAGGGTGATAATGGCAAGGGAGAGAAAATGTTGTCGAAATTAGAATATCTCCAAATTGGAATTTGCTCGAGATTGGAATATGTTTTTCCAGTGTTTGTTGCAGCAGGTCTTATACAACTTGAAAATCTTGAAATAGGAGATGCAGCAGAGTTGAAGCAAGTATTTCATGGAAAAGAAGAAAATGAAATTGCAGAGGAAGGAAAGGACATCAAGTTGCCTAATTTAAAAAAGCTAAAGCTTTACAAACTTGAAAAGCTTACCAGATTCTTTCCAGAAAATAATCATTCAACTCTGCCAGCTTTGGAGGTATGTTTTCAATTTTTATTTTTATCTCAATACAAATTATTGTCACATTTTTTTTTTTTTTTTTGCCTAAAATGGACGAACATGCTTGAATTTGAACAATATTAAAATAGATAGTACTTTAAGTGAGATATCAACAATGAAAAATTATATCATAATAGTAAAATCTTTATCTATTAGACCTTTCGAAGGATCATTTAGCTATACATTATTTTAGAATAGAGATTGTTAAGTCTCAAGGGCCCTAATGATTTTATTAATTTTTAATTTTTAATTTTTAATTTTTAATTTTTGTATACTTTGTGAGTAATTTTATATTATTTTTTAAAAAGAACTAATTTAAATTTATAAATTACTTTACCCTTATATAAAATTAAATTTAATTCTAATTAACTTTTTGTTAATTAGAGTTACAATTATTGTTAAATTTTGAAGTTTAACAATAAATTTTTTTGAAGTAAAAGTGTTATTATTATTATTAAATTAAATTAAATTAAAGATGTACCTTGCCATTAACATTCAGTATTTAAAAATATAATAACAAATTGACACAAGAAACATAATCACCATTTTCCACAGGACTTCTCATGGGCTACAGTGGCCCATGGGCCCAACCCGACTCTGTCACAACCCATAATCCATCTTAAAGGACAAAAAATAAGTGCCCAAGATTATTTTTGCTTTATTATTTTAATTAAATTAATTTTGGATCTTCTTTATTAGTCACAATGGGCCCGATTGATAAATGTAATGACAACTTTTTTCATAATTGTAGTGGCCTAATTGGATTCCTTTTTTACCTTATTATATTCAATAAATTTTTGGTTCAACCTCAGCCTCATGTTTAATGTATTATAATCTTTATTAGTATTATATAAACTAGTGTAATCAACATTCACAAATCAATGTTTATTATATTTTTTCGTAATCAAATTATGTTTGTACATGATGTCTACTAGATTATATAAATGTTGTTGACGTGTCGATCATATAAGTCATATTTTATTACTTACAACTTTTATTATTGTTATTATTGTTTCATTTTACTATAAAGAAACATAGATTTGCATAATTGTTATAATCGTGGATCTAATAAATTTTGATAAGATCAAAGTGATTTGTTTTTCTCAGAAATTGTGTGATCTAAGGGTGGACAATTGTAATCATCAGTTTGTTGACAAAGAGCTCTCTAGATTAAGACGTGGCTTCTTCAAAAATTTGGAAGTATTACACATTAAAAATTGTGGAGCAAAATTTGTATTTCAGTTGGAAGATCTAATCATTGAAAGACAACATCATGAATTATCACTTCCAAAATTAGAGAGTTTGGAGTTGGAATGTCTAGAAGAACTAGAAGATTTATGTAAAGGTCCTGCTCATGTTCTAAGGTTGGAGAATCTAACCACTTTAACAATAAGTGGATGCAAAAAGCTGAAACGTATCTTTTCATTTACTCTTGCTGAGAGATTGGGTCAATTGGAATCACTTTTTGTACAAGATTGTGAGAATTTGGAACAATTATTTTATCTGGACGAAAATGAAGGTTTAGGAGATGAGAAAAACATCAAGCTCCCAAAATTGAAGAAGATAAACCTTAACGCAATTGCGAACCTTAAAAGCTTCTGTCCAGAAAAATATCATTTAACTTGTCCAGCTTTGGAAGAGTTCAAAATAAATGACCTTGTCGGACTTCCTTCCATAACGGTACGTTTTTTTATTTATTTATTTTTTTTTTGAAGTAAAATGCCGAATTATCTTGAAGTCGTTGTCTTTATTATTTTTTTTTCATTTGCAAAAATAATTGAAATGTGTGAATTTTGACTAATAATGGTAATAAGATTAAAAAAAAAAAAAAAACCATAAATTAAAATGATATTTTGACTAATGGTCTTTATTCACGAGTCTAAATAAGTTTGTTTTTGTTAAATTAAATAAAAATATTTGAATACCAATTAATGCCTTTTTACTTTTATTTTATTGACCATATACATCTTTTACTTTTCAATGTTTATTTATTAATGTCTTTTTGTAAGAAGTTTGATTTACTTTTATTTGGCAACATGCATGGTCAATGACTAACACATGATAAAATTGCCATCTAACTAGAATTTCAGCTATTATAACTATCAATTTCAATTTTGATATTTGTTGAGTTTGCATATATTAAAAAATAGTTAAAGTTAAGAAAATTATGAGAGGGAAATTAGCATTTTCTTTATTATTAGTGTTATTATTTTTCAGAAATTATTTAATTTTAGTTTCAATAATAATTAGCATTTTCTTTATTATTTTTGAGAAATTATTTAATTTTAGTTTCAATAATAAAATAACAGATTTCGTTTATTAATTTTAGTAGTTGTTGGTGTGATGTCATGAATTTCATAATTTTTTTGTAAGAGATCAAAGTGATTTGTCTTTTCAGGAAAGGCGGATTGTGGTGATGGATTATTGTAGTATTCAGTTGTGTGATGAAATCCTCTTTGAGTTAAGATGTGGCTTCTTAAAAAATTTTGAAGAATTAAGCATGAAAAATTGTGGAGTAAAAGAGGTATTCCAATTGGAAGGACAACAACATGAATTATCACTTCCAAAATTAAAGAGTTTGGAGTTGTATTTTTTGGAAGAACTAGAAGGTTTATGTAAAGGTCCTGCTTATTTTCTAAGGTTGGAGAATCTAACCACTTTATCCATAAGTGGATGCAAGATGCTGAAACATATCTTCTCATTTACTCTTACTCAGAGCTTGGGTCAATTGGAATTAGTTCAAGTAAGAGATTGTGAGAATTTGGAACAAGTATTTTATTTGGATCATGAAGGAGAACAATATGTAGGTGGAGGAGGTCAAAAGGACATCGTGCTTCCAAAATTGAAGAAATTACATCGAGAAGGACTTGCAAAGCTAGTAAGCTTTTTTCCAGAAAAATATGCTGCATGTTGTCCAGCTTTGGAAAAGTTCACAGTAAAAGACTGTTCCAAATTAACTAAAACTTTCATTGTTGAAGAGGTATGTTAAATCTTTTATCTATTAGATCTTTACTAATTGGATAGATATTTTATGCATAAAGAGTAAGTAATATTCAATAATAATAGTTAGTACTAATTGGATAGATATTCTATGTACATTATTAAAAAAATGTTAAAATTTAAGTTTACCAATTACCACCACTCCCTTTACAGAAATAAAATTCTTCCAAGTTTAATAAAGCTTATTCAGCAATAGCATATTGAACCATTCACTTAAAATTATAAATGAATCTACTTTGTTATTGTTCAATTTACTTTCAGTTTCTCTCAGAATTTTTTGGACTTTTTAGTTAATTAAATAAAATATATAAAATATTCTCTTACTTTTTTTTAGTAGTTGATAGTACCGTATAATCTATTGGCATAAATTTATCTAATCAACTTTTTATAACATTATTGTGCAGTCTCAGAATCTGCAGGTTGTAAAGATGAGTAATTGCAATAGTCAATTGTGCTATGGAATTCTCTCAGGGTTCAAAAAAATTGAAGAATTAAGCATAGAAGACTGCGGAGTACTAGAACATGAATTATCATTCTCAAATTTGAAGAATTTGACCTCTTTAACAATAGCTCACTTTAACAAGCTCAAACATATCTTCTCACCAACTGTTGCTCAAAATCATATGTTGCAATTGAAAGAGCTTGAAATCAGAGAATGTGCAGAATTGGAGCAAATCATTGATGTTAAAGATGGTGAAGAAGTTGGAGCAAATCTTCTCCAAACTCTATCATGCATTGGAGTGGAAAAGTGCCATAAATTAAAAAATTTGTTTCCTATCTCCATAGCTCGGGGTTTTCAACAACTGGAAAGGCTACAAGTAATTGATAACTCTGAATTAAAAGAAATATTTGGAGATAATGATGTGATTGATGAGAAAGAATTTCACTTGCCTCAACTTACGTGGATGTCTCTGAGAGATTTACCAAGACTCACCAACTTTTGCCATGTGGATTATCACTTCATATTTCCAGCACCACCATTTGAATGGTTGGTAGTCGAAAGATGTCCAAAGATAAGTACAAGATTTTCATGGGATGAAGAAAATAAAAGAGTGCATGCGGAAGCAAAGGTACTTCTATTTTTTAATTATAATTGATTAAAGATTTTAAGTCAAAAGGATTTGCTCATTATTCTTCACAGTAAGGAACTTCTTTTCATACATGTTTTCTATAATGCCACAAAAAGCTTAATATTACTACCTTCGCATTTGATGCTTCCAATATCTGGCTTTGCAGGCACCCAAAATAGGCAGTGAAGATGAAAGTCATAGAAAGACTTCTACAAATCTCTTTTTAGGGTATGATTTTAAAGAATTACCTCGGTACATAAAAAATGAAGAGCTTTATTTGAATTCTCATCCAACAGAATGAAGAAAATAAATGTACTTGTGAAACATAGAAACATGCTCATCATTTCTAAACAGGTAATTGAATTTATTATTCTACAGATTGAATTTGTTTGAAGAGGCTCCAACATAAATGTACTTGTGATTAATTATATTTCTTTTGATGGTTTTTCAGTTGGCTCCACCAAATCCAATGAAGATTAGTCTCTTTGAAGGGAAGCAGAAGAAAATTCAATTCACTGTCTTCAATTTGATGAATTTTCTAAACTGCACTTGCTATATATATTTGTTCTGTTTTAAGTCCAATATCAATTCACTTGTTATGTGAATTTTCTAATGGACTATTGACAGTTTATGTTTGGGTTAGCAACTGATGTATTTTGTAAAATTCAGGGTGAAGTTGATTAATCTGGTGCTTAATTGTTATAATCTGGTTCACTGTGACCTAATCTGGTTCACTGTGACCATCACTGTGACCCCCCATCAATGCTCACTGTGACCATTACTGCCAAAAATTGGCTGCACAATAAAGGAATCAAAACTGAATAAATTTACATTTAGAAATAAATCAGTAATAATATAAAAATTCATAAACAAACAATGGTTTAAAGTAAGCACCTGTGACTGGGGCAATGACTGGTTACACCTTGGAATGACCACTTCCAGTTGCTCAACAGGTGGTGTATAGATTGCTGTTGTATAGGTGGCAGTTGATGTTGAAGCATTATCAAGCCTGATATATTGCATAAATTCCAGACTCTAATTAAGTAAGTTTGTACATGGACAAACAAATTAAAAAACAAAAAACATAGAAGAATGAAACTTACAAATCCTGTCTTCTTTTCAAAGAAGCTAACAATATGAAATTTCATAAACAAACAATGGTTCAAAGGCGCAAGCAAGGTTTGAAGGATGATTATATAAAGCTCAAGAGCACAGCTTGCTCAAGGGATGATTCACACCATTGATGAGTTGGGGGAAGAAAAGGAAAGAGAAAACTGAAAATCAGCCAGCATATAATTGTGATTCTACCTGAGGGGAAGAAGCAACTTTAAAGATGAAAAGTGACAAAAAAGACTATAGTGCCTGACCCGCACATGAACCTCATTTTGACAATAGACCCAAATATTAATTAGGTAAGGCTTTTATAAAAAGTGGATTTGCAGAAAGTTGCTCTGCATAGGATACTAATTAAAAGCATTTTTTGAACAGTACCTGTAGATATTTCAATGATGTAAACATTATGTGATAGGATACTTTAAAGCATTTTTTGAACAGTAATGTAGATATTTCAATGATGTAAACATTATGTGCTTCTTCAATTGATGAAAATAACAGCTACTAACCAAAAGTAAATAAATAAAAAGAAAATATATTAACTGTGACAAAATTGGAGTCTCATATCTTAGTAATCATGAATTATAAAAGAAAGACTAAACATGAAAGCGATATCCATTTAAAAATGCATCAATTATGAAGCCTCTTCAGATGTTTCTTCAAACAACCAAATCTCAGCAACCACAATAACATTGACATATTATTAAAAATGAGTGAGAAAATATGTCAACGGATCCTTAGATTTCACAACAAAATGCTATAGAGTAGGAAAAAATCAAAAAAAGAGATCATAATACATCACCTCAAGCCCAACACAGAAGGGCAATTCTGCTTCTTTATCCATCTTTTCAGTTGATGAATCTTTATTGTCCAAGTATACTGAGTAACCAACACATCCATACTTGAAATCCTTAAGAGTACGACCCTCTTTTGAAGCTTCCAACTTAGTTTCTCCCACAACATACCTGGGGATTGGTCATACACCTTAAAATCAGGGCAAATTTTTCAGAGTTTCAATAAATAAAACCCTTAATCAGAATGAAACAGGCAGTAAACTTTAAAACATAATTCTTAAAGATTAGAAAGGAAGAAGACACTAGTATGTGCATGCGCAAACACAAATATGTGTATAGAAACAAAAAATCGAAAGAAGCCAAGAAGTTAAACAGCGTTAGCATCGTATGGACATCGAGTCTAAACATTAGGCAGCAATTCATAGCAACAATTACAAACACTTGAAGCACCAATACAGCAAACCGTGTTACAGTTAGTCCCCAATAAAGTAGATTAATTAGCACAGTTAACCAAACTCACAGCTTAAACACTCCCCAGCCTTCTCCACCGTCACAGTTTCAACACAATCTTCCCCACAACTATCCTGAAAACATTAATAATGAACAACCCAGTTTAATCTTTACACTTTATTCTTTTATTTATCACCAGAGAGACTAACAATAAGAATTTAAACAATAAAAAAAATACCATAGTTGCATTGTTGTTCTCAACTTTGTTGGTGTTGTTCTGGTTGTGGTTATCTTCACTGCCCTTATCTTCTTCAAAACCAAGCTTTTCATCCATTTTCGAGTCATTTGATACTTCTAAATCAACTATTGCAGAGAGAAATAGAACTCAAATAAATACACAGAAATATAACATTAGACAGATAGTCATTGTAAAGAGGAAGAATGTACGGTCCAGAAATATACGTCTAAATCAACAGATTTGAGGACAAAATCTGGTATTTTGACAGGCTCCTCCCTCCTCGGTGGATCTTTTGTTCTGAATGTGCATGTAGACCACTCACTGTACATTCCTTTGCAAGTATATCTTTTACCATCAAATTCCAATTTAATATTGCAAATTGGGCATCTCCCTAACGCTCCATAAAACAGCATGTCTTGGCTGTTTCAATAAAATAAAAAACATTCTTAAAATGATAAGAATCTCAACCCACATACATGGTTTATATATAGATGAAAAATATGTAAAATAGTGGATGTTCTAATTGAACTCACCATTTAGTGACAACAACAGGATCTGGGCCACAGGAGTCTTGGTCATTGGCTTCAAGAATCTCAACCATTTGTTCAATAGAGAGATTAGCCTCAATAGCTTTACAGAATTCTTCAAACTCCACATCTATAACATCAGATTCTCCAGCTTTTCCATTAGTCTTGCCATTGTCATGGTCTTGCTTGGCCTTCTTTGGAGATTGCTCAAAAGAAATCCTAAAAGCTTGCACTGTCACATTGGAACGTCATTAAGTGATAAATAAATGAGTCATTCAAAATGGTATAAGAAATTTATTCAGCTACCTCAGAGATTCAAAATTTCAGACAGATGAGTTGACACATGTTATTAATAAATAAACAATTAGTGACAAAGAAAAGATTACCCTAATTCAAACTTACAATAATACCTACAAATTCCAAAGTTTAACAATCCACAAATAAAAATCTGAATTTGATTAAATGAACATCACAACATTAAAATGTAAATAAAATATACAGCTCACCTCAAGATGATAAGCTGCTTCAGAAGTCAACCCAACCGTGATGACAGCTAATCCTATCAATCCTCCCTACATAGTACAACAAACATCCTAAACAAAATGAAAAATAAGACCTTAATATATACAGTGGCGTAAACAGTGAGTAATAACAGGACTTGTACCAAAATTACACATCCATCTGTCATTCCAGTTACTGAATGTCATAACTCATATTTTCATATGAATTTCGAACTTCTTCTAGCATAATAATTCTGTATTTTCCACTATAAATTACAAATTTAAAGTTAAATCTGGCATGCATAATCTTGTAATTCATAAGCATATAATATTGTACTTTACTAAACCTCCACATAGCAATTTAAATTAAAATTAAATGCATGAGAGTGCGACCTTCCAATCCCCAGTGAAAATATCACACTTTTCTTCTCCGCTATCTGGTAACAACCAACAATCACTTCAATCAAATCACAAAACTCACAACACGCTTATAAGTCTCAGAAGACTAAACAAAAATATAAGATTCTAGTACCAAGCAGAAGGGCCACTAAAGAAGAACAAATAGCAATGGATCAATACAAAATGCCATATCACAAAATTTGCACAACTACCAACCTTCATTAGTATCACGTTTCAAACAAAAAAAACAAATAATCAGTGAAACCCACCACAATTATCAGAATTACAATTACGAAATAATTATTGGTTTGGAGATATCATAATAGTAGTACACTCCCAACTGAGTTAATGACCTGGAGCATTGGAATTCTACAAAAAGCAGAATATAAAAATGTAGAAATATAAAAAACCCAACCCCAACAAACCAAATTTGATTAATTCATTACCTTCTTGAGGCGTATCATTCTCATCATCCGGCTCTGAAACATTGAAACATCAACAAAAGAGACAGCTCATTAATTGTTATCATGCACGCTATATTGAAATAAAAACAAAATCCCAGTTCTTAGAAGCCAAAATAGTTACCTTTTTCAGGCTCCAGATTCTGATCTTCATACTCTGCAACATCAATAGTAAAATTATCAGGTGGTGTTGCTTGTGCCACATCAGTTTTAGCAACAACGGGCGTGGTCTCTAGATCAGGCGATGAAAACTCTTGGGAGCTGAAAAATAAAAACCTAAAAGCTAGACCTGAATCTCCAACTGGGAAGATGAAATTTCTCTGCAGCTTTGGTGGGAAAATGAGAGAGAGCGCGAAACTGAACATTTGTGACCTGGAAAACAGTTACTTTGCGCCTTTTAATAATATAAACATATATTAAAAAATTATTTCAAATTAATTTTTTTTCAAAAATATAAAATCACTGATTAAATTTTTATATTCAAATTTAGAAACCAAATCCTTTTCAATTGATAATATAGTCAAATTATATAATCTTTCTTGCGAGGACTAGAGGTAGACGATGGGCTACCAAGGTTAGGTAAGTGAGGGGTTTTAGGGAGGGGGCCGAGGGGACGAAGACGGTGGTGTCGAAGAAGGTCAACGACAGCGGATCCGTGCCAGAAATGGCTATCGCACGTGATGAAGAATGAAAATGGGCTGCGAAAATCTACCAAATTGGGGGTTGTCAAGGCTGGGAAAACTTTTCGAAAATGATTAAGTGATAAATCCGATCGATTTTGGTGAGAAAATTGACTGGAATCATCACTTTAACGTCGATAGTGACACTATGGCGGTGTAGAGGGGTGGAGATGCAATGTTTTCATAATTTTAGGGATTGAATGGGTGTTTTGAAATTTTAGACATTTAAATAATTCGTTTAGTTAATTTAGGAGTATGAATGGAAAGTATGAAACATGGTTTTTTGTAAATTTATGTAAAAAAATTATAATGAATTTGGGCCTTTTTGTCTTTTTTGGGGCCCTTTGGACTGGTTTGGATAAAAAATTATAAACTTGTTTAGGCCCAATAGTATTTCTGTAAATCTATTTAAAAAAATTTTAAAATAATTTTGGCCCCTTTTTGGGGCTTTTTTTTGGAGGGCCCTAGGCAGGTGTCTCACTTGCCTACCCCTTGGGCCGACTCTGGGCAAACCTGTTTTCTGGTGAATGTGAAAGGATTAACACGTTTCAAGCGTTTGCATGTGAATGTAAATGGTCTCAGTTTACGTGAAAATTAATCTAGTTTTGAATGGACCTTTGATGCCCCAATTATATGATACCATATGTCTAATAACATTTTATTATGCCAAGACTTTTGATGCCCTAATTACATGATGCTATATGTCTAATAATATTCCACCATGTCACCAGAGATGTTCGAGACAATTTGCATGCATCTCAATTAATCCTTCAGATCTTGAACTTGATAGTCGGATAAATCTCCTCAGTGGTCATCTTTATTAGCAATCCAGGTAGATCGAACTTAGGATCTCTTGAGTAATACACCCAAGAGTCCTAATTGACAGCTGGACCACCTAGTGGTGGTTAGATTGAACTATTTATTACTTCAATTTAAATGTATCTTATTTCTCGTACAAAATTAGAGTTGTAACAAATTATGTACCCACAATTTATCGTCATCTAAAATAATTACGATTGATTTGTCAATTAGAATAAATATTGGAATATTTAGAAGAAAAAAAAACTATTTTCAAGAATTCTTGTTACATAATTTCTATTTTCTCTTTAAAAGAAACTATGTTATATCAAGAAATATTTTTTCTCTAATTCTTCTTGCCCATCAAAGCTTATTTGAAGTCTATCTAATAAATCTTTATCACAATCTCTTTCTAGTCTTTTCAATACACCGTATATGAACTTTTCTTCCTCCGAAAAAAAAAAAAAAAGGCCCAAAACTTGAAGAGCTAATAGAAGACCATTAGCATACTGTGCAACACATTTGGATAGCTCCCTAAATTTTATGAAGGCTTGTTTGACTAATGTGGACGAATGTATTAACCATACAGATTAACTAATAATAATGATAAAAAAAAAAACCTATAATTTTTTTTTTAAATAATACTACACTAACAACCCCCTCTCGCAAACTTTCTTTTATAACCCTAACGTGGCAGTTCACAATTGATTAGTTCACAACAGGTCCCACTAATTAATTGCAAGCTGACTAATTGCGAGCTGTCATGTTAAGGTTGTGAGAGAAAATTTATGAAAAAAAATTATTGGTATAGTATTTTTTTTTTTTTTTTTAGTCTATTTAAAGAGTGATGTAATGATAAAAAAAAAACTATATATTTTTTTTTTTTGTCTTTTTAAAGATTGATGTTAAATCTACAACTCAATCTTACAACCCTCGACATGAAAGCTTGTCATTAGTCAACTTACAAAATGCGTCTCATCTGTCCATTTGAGAGCTAACCAATGACAAGTTACCACGTCGAGAGTTATGAGAGAATGTTGTGAGAGAGAGTTGTGGAGCATTATTGTTTTTTAAACAACATTATTGTTTTTTAAAAGGCATTAGTATGCTGTAAATATCAATGTTCTACCAATTCTCTAATATTAAATAAAAAAGTTAAACTATGTCGTGCATTTTTGTGTGTTAATATTGTATTATTATTGTTGTTGAGGTGGCAATTGATTTATGCCATGTGGAAGTCAAAGTTTGAAATGGGCAGTCAAAGGTTTTTGCTAAAAGCTAAGGGGCAGTTCAGTAAAATTCCAGCCTTCAATAAACCTAATATCAATTAGGTTTTTNGATTGGGGATGTCTGGAACAATTTGTAGGCATCTTAACTAATCCTCTAAGCTTTAAAGTTGACAGTCAAGTAAATCTCCTTAATGGTCATCTTTATTAGCAATCCAAGTGGGTTGAACTTAGGATCTCTTAAGTAATACACCTAAAAGTCTTTGTTGACGACTGAACCACCCAGTGGTGGTTAGATTGAACTATATATTATTTAAACTTAAATGTATCTTATTTCTCTTACAAAATTAGTGTTGTAACAAATCATGTACCCACAATTTATCGTCATCTAAAATAATTACGAATGATTCGTCAATTAGAATATTTATTCCAATATTTAGATTTTAGAAGAAGAAAAAAACTATTTTCAAGAATTCTTGTTACAGAATTTCTATTTTCTCTTTAAAAGAAACATTTTATATCAAGAAACATGTTATCTATCATTGCCCATCAAAACTTATCTGAAGTCTATCCAATAAATCTTTATCACAATCTCTTTCTAGTCTTTTCAATGCATCGTATATGAACTTTTCTTCCTCCGAATAAAAAAAAGGCCCAAAACTTGAAGACCTAATAGAAGACCATTAGCATACTGTGCAACACATTTGGATAGCTCCCTAAATTTTATGAAGGCTTGTTTGACTACTGTGGACTAATATATTAACCATACAGATCAACTAATAATAATGATAAAAAAAAAAAAACATATATATATTTTTTAATAATACTACACCAATAACCCCCTCTCACAAACTTTCTCTCGTAATCTTAACATGGCAGCTCGCAATTAGTTAGTTCACAACGGATCCTATTAATTAATTACGAGCTGCCACTTCAGGGTTGTAAGAGAAAATTTGTGATAAAAGGTTGTTAGTATAGTATTATTCTTTTTTTTTTTTTTTTTTTTTTTTGTCTATTTAAAGGGTGATGTAATGATTAAAAAAAAAACTATATTTTTTTGGTCTTTTTAAAGAGTGATGTTAGATCTACAACTCAATCTCACAACCATCGACGTGAAAGCTTGTCATTGGTCAGTTTGCAAAATGGGTCCCGTCTGTCTATTTGCGAGCTAACCAATAACAAGTTACCATGTCGAGGGTTATGAGAAAATGTTGTAAGAGAGAGTTGTGGATATAATATTATTGTTTTTTAAAAGGCATTGGTATGTTGTAAATATCAATTTTCGACCGATTCTCTAATATTAAATAAAAAAGTTAAACTATGTCGTGCATTTTTTGTGTTAATATTGTATTATTATAAAAACAAAAAACAAGAATTTAATTCAAAGCCCTCTGGAAGCTAATAGTCTTCATATCAAGAGTCTTATTTCATTAATGTCTATTAGAGTTAAAGGAGTTAATCCTAGTGTTTTTGACGATAGAATATGAATATAGAGTACTGAAAACCAAGGGGCAAAATAATTATATCATGATGACCATGAGATAATTAAATTAAAATAGCAATATTAAAAGTAAAAATTACAACTTGAATACTATTATTTTAATTTTATTAATTCCTATCTTTCTCTTTCTCTTTTCCCCAAAGAGTTGCATACAAACCAATAACTATCAATATTGCTCCCATAATTATGAAATAATTGAAATTAAATTAATTAGTTAATTATGAAAAATGATAGACTGATCAACAATAGTAATTAATAATTAATTCAAGAAATTAATTAAAATTTAAACATACACTCCCAAGTGCAGGGCATCTCCTAAAATTAGAAGTCCCATAATGGCTGAAATTATTGTCGCTAAAGGTCTAAATGCTGTCATGAAAACTGGACCTCTCCTTCTTACCACCAATGTTTGAACATAAAATGTTATTCCACTTATCATTATTCTCTATACACACATGCGCGACAAAAAAAGTAAAAAATAATAATAATAAAAAAAAATAAAAAATAAAAAATCATATTATTATGAAATTAGGGCACATGTTAATGATGATTCTTTTCTCTGGTTAATTATAAAAGAGAAAATATATTGAATTTGGTAATTATTAGTAAGACTAGACAACATATTCCCACCCAAGGTTGAGCCAAATCCCAAGCTAATACGCGTGGTTTCATTTATTCCAAATACCCACCCTTAAATTAACACCATTTTCTTTATTTTAACAGTAAAGGGGCAAATCGGTCTTTCTATTTTTTTTTTTTTTTTCACTTTCACTTTCTTCCTTATCTCTGCCTCATCCTCCCATCTTCTTCGTTTTCCCTCTACACCTCCTCCTCCCCGGCACCTCACCATCCCAACCCACTACCCCCCCGACCACCTTGACTCCCCTTTTCGCCATCACCCTTCACCTCAACTGTCGCACTCCGCCAACCTCTTTCCGGTAGCCCCATCACCAAAAATCTTAATCAAGCCCACCATTTAACTCATCAAAGCTCTCCGTCCCCGATTTCTCACCTTTCAACACCGATTTAAGCCCCCTCTCCCTAGGGTTTCTATTTTGTTTTTTGTTTTTGCTTTTGTTTTTTGTTTTTTGTTTTTTTGTTTTTCTTATTGAAATGGTGTGATTTTTGGTAGTTGCTATTGGGTTTGGAA